GAAATATGATGCTAACTTTGGGTTGTGCTATAAAAATACGTCTTCACTGCAGTGCTCTATATAGGACCAGTTTGGGACTGAATGTTGGTTTATAGCTACTGACACAACAAATATCAACATACCAAAATATAATATTAACATGATAAAATAAATGTTGTAGAAATTGTCTTAACGGGACACCAAGTGTACCAGAATTGTGCAAAGTGCCAATATTGACCTGGTGGCTGGGTTCAATCTCTTGGCAAGCTGGTGGTCTGCTTGGTCATTTTCTGTCAGGAATGCAAAGCCAGGGGCTGTGGGGGGGGGGGGCCCTGACGCTCCTGTGTGATGTGTTCATATGTTACATACAGATAGACAGTTATATAGTGTATATATGCTATATATACACTATATATGATATACTGTATATTGCATATATAGTGTCTCTGTGACAGACGATAGATAGATAGATAGATAGATAGATAGATAGATAGATAGATAGATAGATAGATAGATAGATAGATAGATAATGTGTCCATATGCTACATACGGATATATGCTATATATACACTATATATGATATATATATAGTCGTGGCCTAATGGTTAGAGAGTCGGACTCGTAACCCAAAGGTTGCGGGTTTGAGTCACGTACAGGCAGGGATTGTAGGTGCTACACAGTGGGGAAAATATTTATTTGATCCCCTGCTGATTTTGTAAGTTTGCCCACTTACAAAGAAATGAAGGGTCTGTAATTTTTATGGTAGGGGTATTTTAACGGATAGAGACAGAATATAAACCACAAAATCCAGAAAAAACACATTATATAAAGGTCAGAAATTGATTTGCATTTCAGTGAGTGAAATAAGTATTTGATCCCCTACCAACCAGCAAGAATTCTGGCTCCCACAGATTGGTTATGTGCCCATGTGGAACACAGATTAGTCCTGCCACTTTAAGAAGTTACTCCTAATAGATAGATAGATAGATAGATAATGTGTTCATATGTTACATACAGATAGACAGTTATATAGTGTATATATGCTATATATACACTATATATGATATACTGTATATTGCATATATAGTGTCTCTGTGACAGACAGACAGACGATAGATAGATAGATACATAGATAGATAGATAGATAGATAGATCTTACAGGTTGCAGATGGCACGTCCTGGTAGTGTCTATAAAAGCGTGTGATGTACTGGGACGTGCTTTGCAAGAGAGACGATGGATCGCCCTGTTTGCTCAGGGTGAGTCCCAGCATCCTGGGAGCACATTATCCACCTATTAAAGCCTTGTAATTATTTACCTTCCCCATCCTAAAGAAGGGCAACGTCTCACAGATAAAGAAGAGCCTCTTGCTTTGCAAGTGCTGTTTGAGTTGAGGCTGGAGAGGGTTTGGACTAGACAGACTACAGTTGATGTCTATTGTCAGAGCAAACATTCCTGAGCACAGGATCACAGCGATGGGTACACAAACTCGCAATCGCCACCCCCCGTACACACACAAACCAAAAGTCTTGGCACACACCCACCCACACACATATTTACACACAGGCATTCTTGTCCCCTGGCTGCAAAGGGCAGGTCCTGGTCTGGTGAGGGGCACAGCAGTCAGCCTGGACAATGAACACAATGGCCATTAGGCAGCAACTGTCAAAGGCTGTAGGGTGTGTATCAACCATCCTCAAGGTCCTAACCCAATATTTGAGCAGGCCTGTGGGCATGTTGACCACAGAACGAGCATCCTCATGCTTGGAGATGTATACTTTCAGATCAGACCGGGAGATGTTCCCTCCCTAACAAGCAGGTGAATAAACATGGTGTCCACAGTATCCATAGTAACACCAATGATGTTTATCAGCTGCATAATCTGGGGACTCTAGGGCTTGTACCAGGTACTGGGCCCCATGCCTGCGTGCACAAGACATTTTGTGTGTCTTGCGAGGACAAACGAGTGATCTTGTGTAGGCTCACCCGACACATGCGTCCGGGACTAAGAATTTGTGTCATGTGACACTTCATTTGTAATTTCCTAATGGAAATATGCTGCAGTATGTTCTATTTAAATGAGTTACAAATACAGTATATATAGAAATTACAATATAAAACTAATACAGTGTACTTATGTGTATACACATCTCTAAAAAAAGAAAGAAAGAAAGAAAGAAAGAAAGAAAGAAAGAAAGAAAGAAAGAAATGTTTTTATTTTTCATTATTTAAATGCATACTTTTATCCAGCGAGGACACACAAAATTGCTCAAAATTGTCAGTAAATTAATAATAATAATAATAATAATAATAATAATATAAAATATTTTAATTTGTAATAAATGTTGTTTATTAGAATTTTCTATTCATTGAAGAATCATGAAAAAAATGCATCACTGTTTTCAGAAAAAAAAAAGTTATTTCACGGTATTGCTGTTTTTACTGTATTTTTGTTCAAATAAATACAGGCTTGGTTAGCATAAAATACTTAATAAAAATACATATATAATAGTTAATATAAGAGTTGCTATATATGGGTTAATATTAGAGTTGATTTAAAGTGTATTAATTAAACTGTATGTAACATGGTTATGTTACATATAACATTATATAATGGTGGATAAATGAAAATTTGGTTACACTTTATATTATGGTGTCATTTAATGTAATTATACATTTAAGTACTTACTATGTGGTTAGGGTTAGGACGGGGGTTTGGTTTAGAGTTAGTTGCATGTAATTATGTATAATTTATTGTTACATTGGTAATTTAGTACATGTAACGTGTAACAAAGACCAAATTGTGTTACCAAAATTTCAACTAGATTCAATTTGGTCTTATCTAGTGCTGCTAAGCTACAAAGGAAATGCAACCAGCCTTCGGTCTTGTAAAGAATCGCCACTTCAATGCAAAAGCTCTACACTTGTTTGCTTAAGGCTTTAGCATCTGCTAAGATACCATTCTTGCCAATGAAGTAATGTCACCAGACTCCGTTTGGTGCAGACACACTATACCACTTGCACAGTGAATGCGGTAGAGTCCCCTACGCTGTAGTGGAAAGCCCCTACAAGAGCCACTCCGCTAGGAGAGATCAGCCAGCCTGTGGATACACTTTCATCCTGGCAACCGATCCCCCCTTCGTCCCTTCTCCGTACCAAACAGCAGTGTTTACCTAAAGGATGAGGGAGCTGAGCAAGGACCTCACCTGCTGGCCCCGAGGTTGCCATGAATACCCCAATAATCCCTCTAAGTCCATGCAAATTCACCCAGACTGAGTCACTCGGCCCAGCAGAGGCGGGACTCTGTTGTTGATCAGTTTGCCATGGCAGCAGCCCTTATCTCCACATGAGAGTGGGAGCCTGTCATGATGCAGACCTTGTTCGCTGCCTTCGCTGCCCTCCCGCCATCACAGAGCCTTTCAAGGGATGCCGCATGTTTACTCCCAGCGCTCGGCATGTTAAATTAAACCTCTAACTGTAAGCATTCGTGTGCCTTTATTAGCGAGAGAAAGAGCCTGGCTTGTTTTGTCTTGTGAGTGGAAAAGAGCCACCGAGGGATTAGGTAGCCGGAATATAGATTTGCCATCGGGAATCCATTAAATGGCCTCGTTCCCCTAACAAAGGAGCTAATTCATTTATGACATTCCAAACCATGAGGTCATCTTATTTATTTTTCCCACTTTTACTATTCAGATGAATAGTGAAGGAAAGAAAGAAAAAAGAAAAAGACACATCCAACACTTGAGAATCTGAATCGTGGATCTATTCAACTTCTCCCATAAGCATTAGGGATATGTGCGTCACAACCAGTGGCTAATATCTATGCTAAATAGTTATAGTAATTTATGGCACGTCCTGAGTCGTAGGCCAGGGGGATGGGGTAGAAAATAAGTGACCTTTGTGCCTTGGTCAAAATCCCCATGGGCCTAATTCAGCTGGGGGAATGGACCCCACAGCAGCAATGGGAAGATGCCTCAAACATAATGCACACAATAGCCAATTGTGCAGTGGTTTCTCTCCTCGACATAAAGCGAAGAGCCCAGGGGACAGTAAAGGGTGAATGAAGCCTGTTGCTTTTCTCAGGCACGATGACACTCGGTGATGAAGGGGTGTCGACTCAGCAATCAAGAGGGGCAATAGGATCTCTTTGTGAGATATACAAGGCCGTGAATTTAAGATAAACGCTAAAGCTGTTTAGCACGTTTTCAGTAATAAAAGCAGTGTTCTTAAAAGGTTGAGAAGGCAATAATCATTATTTTTCTCTTTGGAAGGGACAGAAAGAATCCATTTGCAGTGCATCAGACTCAAAAATAAAAATACTAATTTGCGGCATTAATTAAAAATCAGTCTGTGTCAATGTGAGTACATACTTCTTACTTTAGTATTGTTTAAAAACATATATTGTAAAGCGCTATACTGTATATTATATACATTTAAATTGTAAGCGCTGTATAAAACAATTGCTAAACAATAACCAATAATATTTTTACAATTAGTGTACCATTAATAATCAATTAAAATAACAAAACTATCAATTAAAAAACAACTATGTTGTGACTATTATTGTTTAATTGCACATTTTCACATGAACCTGGTCAGTAAACAGACTGATGTAGTCTCACAAACCTAAAACTTACATCAGTTCAAATAAATGACTCGTGAATCAGTGACAGAATCATTTTTGAGTCATTTAGAATAAATTCAGTGACTGTAAGTCTGATTCAAATCGCTAATGCCGTGTTCATACTATTACTTGAGCATTCAACATTTCTATGGAAAACACTGTAACAGTAGTAATAGGAATGTCACATACTGCGGCATCGTTTTGAAAAACATAATGTAACAATACATCCAAAATGTAAAAATATGCAATCTGCTTCAGTTTACTGCAACACTGCAATCCTGCAGATTAGAGTTAGTTCAATTCAGCTGAGAGGTCACACCGTGATGTATCGATCTTTTATTGTAACTTTGCAGGGCAGAGTTCACCAAACTAAAACTTTGGAAGGCAGCAAAATTTGCATGAGCTAAATTGTTTTGATTGAGTTTTAAAAACAACCAGTGCAAAAGAGCAATTTGTTTGCAAATCAAAGACTTAGACTGTATTCATTGTTGCTGTAAAAGCGTGCACTACCGCTCCTGAACAACCATCTTTATGAGGCAATTCTGTCATTTGTCAACTAAAAAAAAGTCATTTGACTCATAAATGTTGTTTTTTTTTATGTACTGGAGTCCTGCTTAGCTGCTGTTTTATTTCCACATTACAGATAATAAGGTAAAGTGGTTAGAACCAACACAAGAAAAACAATAAAGTTTGTTTAAAATATGTATTTTTAGACAAAATAGTAAAAAATCTTGTAAAAAAAATCCCAACCAAATAATTAACAGTCAAAGAACTCAAAGTATCAAGAGTACAGCTATACACATAACAAATGGCTTCACTGCAATTGTCATTGGCTTTTGGCCATATCAGAGCAGTAAAAACATTTAAATCCCACCCTGTTTTACAGCCCTTTATCAACTGCGATCTGTATAGGCCCGGGACAGCACAAAGCCCAGAGGGGCTGGCCCATCCCAAAAGACAAGCCTGTGAACAAATGGTTACATGGCCAAAACGGCCCAAGAGCTGAACTGCTAAATTTATTTCCTTTTCCCAAGCTTTATTCACAAAGTGACTCTGCGTGGTCACCCTCCCCAAAATAGGCGGGCGGTGAGGTAGACTGGAGGCCGATGACAGAAGGGGCATAGACAGAACAAGTCAGTGTCTTTTGAGGGAAAAATAAAGCTTTGTGAGCAACGGCAGTGGTGGCACATTTGACAGGTCTTTACCAGTCTTCAGCTCCTTTGTGTCACTCACATAATGGAGAAAAACACAAACTGAGCCACTGTGTCGATGTGGCCCGGGCTATTAGTCAACGTGACGGCCTTTGGAGATGCTAATGGCCATATAGTGTGTCCTCCCCCGTCTTCAGAAGCCGGTTATCTGATAGCACAAAGGCATTTCGCTGGAGGTTGACTTCTTCTTCGCCCCTATTGAAACGCTACAGAGTCATTAGGTTAAAGTCTTTCTCTTTTTTTCCCCTCCAAACACTCCTTCTCAGACTATCCTTTTTAACAAACGGGGAATATAATCATTCTCCGAGACGTGAGAGAGGCTGGAGCATATGTATGCGTGCAGCCCCTCAGGTGCTGGAAAAGAAATAGAGCGCTCTCTAAAAAACAGACAACCCGCAATTCCCTCCGCACCCCTCCGGCGAGGTAACGATGCCAGTAACAATCAAGGCCTTGTGAAATGGGAGAGGATGCCCAGGAGTTAAAGACCTCCTGCCCACTGTGTTATTCATCAGTGCGGGCTGGAGCTGAGAGCTCAAGGGCCCCACGCTTCCACATGTAGCCCAGAGGTCCGGCTCCACAACCCTACACTGATGATGAGCACAGTCCATGGAGCATATAAAGCTTTGTGAGCAACGGCAGTGGTGGCACATTTGACAGGTCTTTACCAGTCTTCAGCTCCTTTGTGTCACTCACATAATGGAGAAAAACACAAACTGAGCCACTGTGTCGATGTGGCCCGGGCTATTAGTCAACGTGACGGCCCCAAGCCTGTACAATTTTCATTTTCTGTGGAATTTTTTTTTTTTTCATGAAATGTTGCTTTTTGGTTAGCAACATTATCCAAAATATGTTCTTTTGTATTCCAAACAAAGAAGAAATGATGAAGTAACCTTTTAAGATCCCGTCCACATTTAAGTTTCCATGGCCACCGCAACTTCTGACGCAGTGCAGTTATGGAAATTGTGAGAAAATTATACCTTGAAGAAGTGTTGCACAACAGGATAAAGCAAAATTGATACAATCCACCTTTACACTAAAGGTATTTAAAGCTCATTATAGTAACTCATTACTGTAATATTATGTTTTATGTATTATTATGTATTATTTACTAAACGTTACATGTACTA